GCCCAGAACGGTGACAAGCATCCTCCGCGAGCTGGTGGAGAAGCAGCAGCTTTCTGAGGAAATCTTGAGTTTGGTGCAGGCTCAGTTTTCAGGTACTGCTGGGGAGGCGTTTTGCTAAGGCACAGTGCGTCAGGGTCTGTCTGTCACCCCCGTTTTATTTGTTTCGGTAATCATTGACCATTAAAACTCCTAGGTCCAATGCTGTAACACAAACGCATTGCGATTTGTAGGTTTGGAATGCCGCAACCAATCCGGCGAAGAATGAAAATCTCCCTGAGCGCTTGCTACGGTGCTCAGGTCAGACCTCTAACCAAGGCTGTTAAATCAAACAGCTGACAGTTGACTCAAGAATAGCATGTATTTAACTAGGAAGTCCTTGTCTTTTGTGCTGTCCAGAAGCAAGCTGTTGTCAACAATAAGAAGCCATTTCACATTGCAAAGTCAACCATAAATTAATGGCTTCTCTCTGTTATGTCAGTTTTTAAGCAGCACCCACATACAAGAGTCTTTAGTCAAAACTGTGGAACGACATTAGAGATGAAAAGATGTGTTGGGGACTCAGCCTCAGACAGCGTGGTGGAGCACACACTGCCTGTGCCTGGGAAGAAGTGAGGCACAGTGATCATATTGCTGAACTGTTGTAACATCACACCAGACTACAGGACTAAGTGGTTCCAGAGGCTTCCCTGTTGACTTGTATTCTGCAATATGTTTGTATTATGCATCCCTCTGTTAAGTTATCAGCTATTTATTTACTTCACTAAAGCTGACCTCTTGTTTTCTTGAGCAGATTTGCCTTGCAAGTTGCACAGCTGGAGACAGATGGCAGAATACTCACCAGAAATGAGGCAATTTGTTTGTATTCTCCACCTCTACCATATTAAGGCTTATGATTCTCTACGGAAGATTTTTCCCCTCCCTCATCCTTACAGCCTGACAGAGCAAGTTTTTATTTATTTATTCTTTCATTCATTTGGAATGTATTTCCAGGTACTCTTCTAGAAATAGGTATAACAGATCTGTCCTGAAAACATTCAGCAGTAGTTATTTTTCCCTGTGTTATGTCAGAAGCAGAGTCAGAAGCAAATGACAAGAAATATTGATACCCCTCACCTCAAAGCTGGTATGTGTTCATGCATGTGGGTCATAACATGAGAATAATACTTTTCTCACAGTAATAATTTTAGAGTAAGTGTGGAGTTTGCTAAGTACGGGTGTGAAAAAAGCTACATTTCAGGGCCTTAGGTGCAGTAGAGTCTATATGTGTTTTACTGTTTACTGGGGAAGTTAGTAAATCTTGACAAGTTATGGTAAATCTCGAAGTTACAGAAAGGAGATATTTCTAGATCACATAACTCAGTTGTGTAACCCATTGCAAGTAGTTATGTAGGCTCTGAATTTACTACCCAAAGTCCTATCAGATCCACTAGCAAGAAGTGAAGTTGTAAAAGGACACAAAACAAAACCTCACGAAACTCTCCCCCTTTAGGTTTTGAGTATCAAACTCCTGTAGCGCAATTGGGAGGACGCCCGACAAATACACATTGTCCGTGCCAGCCTGTGGGGGTTTCACACAGCTTCCTGCAGAGAATCTGCTCAGAGGGATGCCAGGAGGTAGTGGACAGAGTGTATTGAGGAGAGTAGCATTCCAAATGGGTTGCCAAAGCTTTCACATTTTCCAAACTAGATTACAATTTACTGTGTGCAGAATGTCAGTTGGGAAGGCCAGCAGCCTGGTGTTTATGGCCCTGTGCCTGGCCTGATTTACACTTTTTTTTTCTCCTGTCGTCCTGATCTCCTACACTGGAGAGGCAGGAAGCTGCTTTGTTACTTCCATTCATGGTCAGTACTTTTACTTGACTTCTCATCACTGTGGTGTGAAAAAAGAAACTCAGACTATGCATTAAGAAAGGCAGGGCTGCTTGCTGTGTACTCTGTGTCTTAGCGTGCTCTACAGCCCAGACATGGCTTACCAAGTCCTAAGTAGTAAAAGGTACTGACTGTTGCTTCAGTTTTCTCAGAATTACATCTCCTAATCTCCTCTTCCCTTTCTTTCCAGTTGGCTTTCTAATAATGGGGTTGCTCCAGGCTTCAGCAACAGCATTTTTCTCCGCCTTCAGGAAAAGGTGGAGAGAGGGGAAGAGGCCTACCGCTACTGTGCCCTGATGGTACAAGACATGCCCCTGCAGAAGCAGCAGGAGTGGGACCCGCAGACCCAGCGCATGACAGGCTTTGTTAACTTGGGAGTAGGTGTCCTTGATGCTGATGAAGCTCCGCTGGCCTCAGAGGCAATAATCCTCATGGCAGTTGGCATCTCAAGCCCCTGGACAGCTCCACTTGGCTACTTCTTCGTGAACAGCACAACTGGCCACTTACATGCTCAGCTGCTTCGTCAAACCATCAATAAACTGAACAACATTGGCATCACGGTGCTGGCTGTGACATCAGGCGCTACTGCTAACGGTGCTGAGACTGCCAGGGCTCTGGGTATCAGGATAGATCCCGAAAGAATTCAGTGCACTTTCCGGCATCCACCTGGTTCTGCTCACAGCATCACATACTTCTTTGACATTTGCCATACGCTCCAGCTGATAAGGAATGCTCTGCAGTGCTTCCAGAAGATGGAGTGGCACAGTGACACCGTGCAGTGGCAGCATGTGGTGGAGCTGGCAGCTTTGCGGGAGCAGAGGGTATTAGAGCCATGCAGTCCCAAGTCAGGCAGACCTGAGAGTAAGGAGAGTTACCACCTCAAAGTCAACCTTGCCACCCCATTGTTCAGCGAGGGTGTTGCTGATGCGCTGGAACACCTTCAGAAGCTGGGCCTGGCCTCATTTCAGAACTGCAGTGGTACTGTCAAGTTTATGCGTTTGATGAGCTCTCTGTGCGATGTATTTCATGGCAGAGGTCCCTATAGAAGGGGACTGAAAGGGCCTTTGCTAGCTGGGAATTACACCAAGATAAGCCACCTCTTTGATGAAGCCAAGAGCTTCTTTGTCATGTTAACAGACTCTATGGGTAGATATATTCTTAAGAGCAAACGCAAACTAGGATTTCTGAGTTTCTTGCTCAATGCTGAAAGCCTCAAGTGGCTTTACACCAACTACATGTGCCCAGAAGGCGCTCCTTCCCACCACCTCCTGACCCGTGCCTTCAGCCTTGACCCACTGGAGTTGTTTCTCAGGGCCCTCCAGCAAGCCTGTGGCAGCAGTGGGAGCCCCACCTGCTCTGTGTTCCAGGCCACTTATCACAAGGTGCTGGCCAGCTGCAGTCTGGCACCGGGCTCACCTGACAGTGGTGGCCCAGGCACTACAAGCTGCTTGGACATAAATCTATCGTGTAGGAGAGATCTGACTCTTGGCAGTGTTCGTGCTCAGTATAACCCAGCTTGTGGGAGGATGCTGGCAACAAAATACCCCTATTGTGCAGGCCTTCTTTTGCACACCTCTGCACTGAGTAATGCACTGACAGACCTGTCACTGCACACACAGAGCGTCACCTGCACTGCAGGCTTCATTGCTGAGCAACTGGCCTCTGACTTGCAATGCGAGACTTGTCTTGCTTCCCTCTTTGAGGCAGATGAGACCAGGCTGAGATGCAGGTCAGTGCTCTACATAAAAAAGTTAGGTGGAGTGAGTCTGCCCTCAACAAGCGTGTACCACATAACAAGCATTTTGGAACAAGTTCTAAACCGGTATGGCAAAGTAGGAGTTAGCAAAAACACCAAGCTATGGCATTTGTCTCTAGAACTGAAAGTCCTCCAGGAGCTTCTGGGAGAAAGTCCCCTCTTCCCCACTGTCACGAACCATTTTTCTGATGGGGAGTTTTGTGTCAACAATCACTACATAATTTTAATAAAGGAAATAACACAACGTTACTTAAATATCAGAACAAACCATGGCCAGTACCTGAACTTGAAATACCATTGTGGAAGGCACAGCTTGAAGAGACTGAAGGGAAAACATGTTTTCATCACAACTGGGTAGCTGTCAATCAAGCCAAACCCAACAGTGTGTACTCATTGCTTTTCAAAGGATGGTTGTTCCCTACTGGGGCTTGGTAATGGCCACACATCTAGGCAACGGATGCAAGGAAATGATGTGGTGTCTTCCTATGATTTGGCTGGTAAAACTGGTGGTTGTAAGCAATGATGTCTTGGGTAATGCAAGCCATCTCATCAGAATTTGGCTGATCAAGGAAGTTAATCTGAACATGTGTTCTGTCGAGCAATCCTGCAAACTAGCTGCATATTTTATGAGATGCACGTGGCAGGTCAAGATGAGCAATGATTGCCAAGATGCCTGGGAAGGTGGTAGGGGATACTGCAGTGTATCCCATGGAGGTGCTGAGTGGCTTAGTGCTGTGAGTCCTCTTGCCATGAGAAAATTGATGCATCTTCGGCATGGGGATCATGTGTGCTGGCAATTTGATTTCACCAAAGCAGATCTGCTTTAAAAAGCTGAAGGCAAGAAAGCTTGCACAGCTTTTACTTACAAAGGAATATAAAAACATGAAAAGAAAATGATACTCAAGTTGTATTTGAATGTCACTGCCCCTAAAGCCCCATGTTTTACAAGTGGACTAGTAGATAGTAAGCAGAGAGGCTGTTGTCCCTCAAGGTGAGAGGGCAACACAGGCTGTTGCACTCAGGGGCGTTGACACCCCTGCTCCAGGCAGGAGCTCCAGGCACCAGCATATGGATGTGCTGCAGTAAGGCAAGCACTTCGAGTCCCATAACGTGGCCTCATCAGGTCACCCACTCAACTCTGCCACATGATCCCATCCTCCCAGAGCCAGCAGTCCTGCAGCCCAGGGCATGAAGAAGTCTCCTTTACAGACGTTTCCACTGATGACTTGAACCACAGATTTGATGCCACCAAGTAGGACAAGCTTCAGGTGGCATGGAAGGTGCCTTGGGATGCGGTACTTTACGTGAAATAGCTAAGTTTGGCATAACTGCAGCTAAATAGCTTCGCTTTGCAATGCAGGAGGGCAGCTCCATACATAGGTATGGAAGGCAACTATTTCCCACAAAGCTCTGGCTGTTCAGTTACTTTTGATCTCCACGTTAGAGATGGGATGAAAAATGGTGATATACCATTTCCCAGGGCAGGAATATTCAAGGTGCCACTCTGCCTACCAGTGACTTGATAACTGGTTGATTTCGGTTCTTCCTCCCCCCTTAGTCCTACTCCCACCCCTACACGGTGGGAGCAGAGCTGCTGCACTCAATTCCTCAAGCTCTGCTTTGAGAGTAGCAGCACCACAGAACTTCCTGCATTCTCTGCTGGGAGCAGCAAACCAAAACTTACAGACTTTTTTGCAGTCATATGAAATTTTTAGGACAATTAGCAAGATGCTGCTGAAATCAGACTGTTATATTGGTTGCACTTTCATAATGTGGTAACATTTGCATTGCCTAAACTTCCAGCCTCAGTATGAGCTGAGCTGTAGGGAATAGGCACTTCCTTGCTGGATGTTTCTTTCAGCTGGACATAAGCTTGCTGTCACTTCCTGTTTACATCTGAGGGACGTTGTCTTGCTTGATTCATACCGAGTCTCCTCCCAAATGGGAAGCTTTTGCTCCAAGATGTGCATGAGCTCCTGGCTGCTGGGGTGAAGTCATGAACATGGCAGGCATGCTGCACACAGGGGCTCATCTCTGAATTTTTCATGGGTTTTGTGCAGTTGCTGCCCATTGGTGAATTGACATCGAGGGTTAGGGCTGGGCTGGTGGCTAAACTGGGAACCGCTGTGCCGACAGGCTCTCTGCATTCCTGTGTCTGACCTGCCTTTAGCAATGATGACTACAGCTCGTGTCCTTTTGTAATTCACTAAAATATTGATGACAGAGGTTTTCAAGAGATGTTGAGGACGTTTTACAGGGCACGGTAGGATGACTTTGAGCAAAGGCACATTATTAGAAAAAAGTGTCACAGTTGCCTAACTGACAAAGCTATCCACAAAGAAAGCCTGACAGTTATTCTAGGCACCGTGTGCCAATTGCCATTATTTTCTGAAAATACAAACCTGCTGTTGCACACCAGATACTGTTGGCTGTACTCACACAACAAGAGCTGTCATGTTTCAGTGGAATTTTTCAGCATTCATAACTCCACAACTGAAGCCAAGTGATTTTCTGCATCACTACTTTTCCCAGTGTCTTTTGGACACTGCTTTCTCCTCCCAGCGTCTCCTTGCTCCGATGCTCACCATGGCTCTAAAACACCCTCACTCTTGCTAACATGATGCCCTCCATGAGGTCCATGCAAACCTACCGCTAAGTCACTGAGCCCCTCTTTCCTTCTCTCAGGCCTCTGCTGCAGCCTAAAGTTACTGACAATCTTCTCTTGTGGCAGCTGGTGCACTAGGGGGGAAAACTGCAAAGATCCATAAAAAAAAGAGACAAATGCCACAAGACAACAGTGCATTGCATCTAACAAGCAGTGTTAGGCTCTTTAAAAAACCTTGCCACAAGGTTTTGCCTGGGATCTTAAACAAGCTCTGTGTAACGCCCTGGTGTCTTCAAGGACGCCGTAGAATGGTGTTGCACTTTTTCCTGCTCAGTCGGAGCCTAGCTCATGTCCAGCCAATGCATATGAGAAAAAAAACCCCAAACAACTATGCTTTCTCATTAAAGAGTTTAAAAGAAATTAAGAAATTATCATGTGGGGTCAAATTATCTGGTGGTGGATTGGTTGATACGTTTTGGCCCTTTATGAACTGTGCCACAGTGTGCCACAAATTGCTATACATGACACTACACCAGTAATCAAGTGTTTATCTCTGGTAGGATTCAATCTCCTACTGAAAATCTAAGCCAGTACATGCATAAGAAGTGGTTCCGGTGTTAACAGATTTATTTTGATATTTCAAGGAAAACCTTCTGTGTATATTTGTCACTGCTAAAGGAAAGGAGTGCAAAAAAATCATATTTACAGAATAGTATAAATGTTTATTTTTCTTTGTGATTTATCTGACTGTTTTATTTGTACAACATAGAAAAGTGTATTCTTTGAATAGGTCTAGTAAATATAAATTTATTTTTTCTACTTTCAGATGTAAACAGAACTAGAAAATGAACCCTTGCCCCATTCTCAATTATTTTTATGTAACTGGATGAACTTGACTCTAAATCTTGTCCAGCAATTTGATGCAAATGGCTAAGGAAGTACAAAAAACCAATTCACACATTCTACACCAGGGAGAGGGGAGAGAGGAATCCAAGCTTAATATTTGAGAAAGCTTGTTCAAAACAAAATAGAAGAATTGATTGCACCTTCAAAATCTTTACAAGCAAAATATTCTCAAGCAATGCCATCATACATAATTACAACTGTAATCTAAATTTCACAAGTGTTTTTGCACACTGTATATAAATACACATCACAAAAGGTGCAATTTAGAGTAAGACGGAATATATACACAATTAACATGGACTGAAGTCTAAATAAAAGAAGGCATATTGCAATCTGAAAAATAATGTAAGTAGGTATTACTTTATTCACTTACACTAATTTACATTTTTACAAATCTTACTGGATGTACTATATTAGGTCACTAGAAGTAAAATGAATATACGCACTATGTACACGTGAAGTTAATGTACTGATTTTTTTAGTAAATACAGGTCCTAATTATTAAAAAAAATGGCATTTACTTACACGAGAGGTGGATTCCCTTTCCAGAGATTTGCACAAATATACTTACTATTTATGCTCAGGGAGATGTTAATAGCAGACTGGCAGATCAAACTGTGTCTGCAATGGCCATTCAACAGGTCCACTACAGCTGCTGGCCATCTCCCAGGCCCTTCGTGCTCCCGAGCCATTTTGAGGAGGCACCAGAGAAAGGTCAAGGAGAAAGGCCTTCTGTTCAGTGCATAGAACCGTGGGGTGAAGACAGAAGTGGAAGCATCCTTCCATCCTATTGCCATCATGCATATAGGCACTTAGCTTCGCTGCTTGTTTGCTTAGCCCCTAACTTTCTCCAGCATGGCCCTGCAAGAAAATCTGGAGGAAGAGCTCTGCTGCATTTCTCTGTATTTACAGTTTTATACAAGGAATACAAAATCTGTTTTGGAAAAATCTAGCCAGTTCAGCTGCAGTGAGACATAATAAAAATGCCTATGATAAAACATGGTTACTGATGTTCACAGTAGGTAAGTAACCTACCAGGTTAGTTTTGCAAATGTGTTCCACTATCAAAAATGTGATCTGAGATTGTGTGTAACAAATACTGAAAAAAAATTTCCTGCCCTAGTCTACGCCCTGATATAGCTGATTCTTCCTGCCCCCCCAGCTTTGTGTAAAAGGATCTATGTGTCTGTTTTGGCAGCAATACTGATTCTGTGCTAGCATCCTCTCTGATCACGGCTCTCAGTCATTTTAAACAAACACTAAGAAAACCCTTACGCCAAGTAAAATGCCAACATACAGAGAAGCAGCATCCTGAAGACCCACAACCAGGCTGAACATGATCCCTACCTGAGTTTACAAGACGCTTTGGATGCAGATTGTCTCGAGTCCTCATTAAGACAACTGTGGTTTCACTGCCTCCTATGACTTCAGCTTCTCAGACTTAAAACACTTTTCCAGAGTTACAGCTTGATCCTAGAAAACACGAAGGACTACCTCCAGTGAGGGATTAGGCTGCTGCAGGCCTCTGAAAAACCAAGCTTCACGTAAGCAACGGCATCCATCTGCTGCATGCTTACGTAACACTGTACACTGGGCAGACAGTCCGGCATCGTAGCATGGCTGCTCTTTCTCACTTCTGAGGATGGGCCAGTCTTAGCCTTCAAGTTCCAGCTTAAGAAACACCTGATGTCTCAGCCACATTTCTACCAAAAAACTCGTTAATTCCATTCACCTCTAAACCACTTGGGCCCTGCTCCAGTGAGATTCTCCCCCAGTTGCCCAATGCTAAATCTGCAAGCAACCCCTCTATATTATTGCCCATGTATTTCACAGTGCGCCATGCAGTA